ATTGATATACCTGCATTGAGAAGTAAGCATCAGTCGACTTCATGAAACGAGAAAGCAAAATAAGACATCTAACAATGTTCCTGTGGTACTTGGATACAATACATTCTCCTTGGGCACCTCGAGTTGGCGTAATGGTTAGAAAGCTTGTGTAGCTAGAACAATTACGACTGAGTAGTGAGTTCGATCCTCACTGGGTGCCCCATACTTTCGGCCTTGTGCCACATCTAAGATACGCTTGGAAAATAACTACAATACATTCTCATGTACTGTTTGTGGTCTTTTGTGCAATTCTCGAGCCGGTCTCAAAAGTCATGTCCGTCATCGGCATGCAGATAATTAGTTTGTGGTCATCGGAACCTCATACGTCGAACTATACGGGAGAGCCTATCATAAACATATATATATATATATATATATAAATTTATTTATTTAAAAATATGATTCCAACACGCTACATAAGAATTCTCATTTTTAAAAATAATAACAAAAATACTAAAGAACTTTGGATTATTTACCTAACGAGTTCTTTCCTATTTTCTATATATTTTCACACACACACACACACACACACACACACACACACACACACACACACACACATATATATATATATATATATATATATATATATATATATGTATAATTATTTATTTAAAAATATGATTCCAACTCGCGACATAAGAGGTCTCATGTTTCATCCTATTTTCTACATATTTTCACATATTATATATGTATGTAGGTATTATTTGATTTGCATAATAAATTCAGACAGGCTGTAGTTGCAATGCTACAAGCATTTTAACTTGAACACGGAATTTAAGGGCACCCTGTACACCGATAATGTTTCTGATGGATGTCGGTATGTGCCGCTCCTGATCAAACACTCAAATTTTATTTTTAATTCCTTATATACATATATATATATATATATATATATATATATATATATATATATATATATATATATATCTTTTAAGCTCTGAAATACTTGCGGTTTTCCAAGTAAGCTTTGTAATTTTCTGTGGTTTCTTTAATACTGAATATTGTTCTTTGCGTGGGTGTGCACTGCTTGATTTTCGTAGTGAAAAACATTTTTTGCATTTAATCCCCTCATATTTTTCTGTTTGAATTAATGTGTAAAATATCGCCATTTTTAATATCCTTCATTTGATGTCTTAATTCTCATATATATATATATATATAGATAGATACACCTAGTGAGCCAGACAAACCTACCTAGGTTTCACCTAAACGGATCGTCAGGGAAAGTTTTTCGAAACGAGTCTAGTTATCTATATATATATATATATATATATATATATAAGATTTATATTCAGAGTTGAATCAGACCAGGAAACAGTAGTATTAACAAATGCTCAATAAATGTGAGAAAAAATAAAATAATAATAAAAAAATATATATATAACAAAGAGAGCTTTTAACGATTAAAATTAGGGGATCAGTTAAATTCGCTCCCTCAGTTTCAGCCTTACGGTATCCTCAGACGTTGTTTATCAATTGACATCCCAACGCTTTATTTTAAAAACCAAAACGTGAAGTCAGTTGATAAAATTCAGCCTAACGTTGGAACCGTAAGGTGGAAACCAATGTAGCGCATTGACTGATCTCCTATTTTTTTAAAGAGTCTGGAGCTTATATTCTATATCATAAAGAAACAATTTATACAAAGAATTAAATAGTAATATTAACGTAATTAATGCCGAAATCACTTCGCTAACAAGAGTTAATGAAACATTAACTTACTTTCAATTCCTTGAATAATAACATCCTTATATTCGATTTGCTGTCAGATGGAAGACACTTGATAAGTACTTTCGACAATTTCAAATTGTCATCTTCAGGGCGCCCGCTCTAATATATTTACTACATCAGACCACAGTACAGTAATAATCAGAATCTTAAATCCTGTGGAAAACTACTATGACATTTTTTCTCTACTAATTGGATTATACTTAAATCCATGTCTCTTTAACAGATGAATACATATAACAAGAAAATTTTCCGGATTTATATCTTTTCAAAATTCAAACAAAATTCTCACTTGATCCATTTGAACAAGAGTTCTTGCCTCGAGGCATCGCGTGCTCCAAAACATATATTCAACTGTCAATAACTAAAATAATTTTAAAAAAAACCTCTTTCGGTCTACACATATTTCGTCTTAATGTTTGCCGATGTATGGGAAAAAAATGAGCCCTGAAGATGAAAATATATATATATGGATACTCGTATTTGAGTGGACGTTTCATGTATTTATCAAACAGTATATTTTCGTCTACCGGCTTGAATATTCGAGAGATCTTATTATAGAAGCGTATGATTTTTTCGCCAGGATTCGAATCCGCGTCCACATGGGCAGAGCGATCCGTCGTTAGAGCAGATGTGCTCTAGACGGACTGACCTACGAAGAACATAGACTCTCGAAATTTTTCATATTTGCTCAGTTTCTTATCTGGACGTAAACAAAGCAATTTTTTTAATAGAGTAATAGGTTTCTTATATAGTAATCCGTGAGTTTTCTCTTATTTTGAACCTTATCATTTAGTGGATACGTGTATTTCGGTAGACGTTCTTTTTATTTATTAAACAGTCTATTTATTTATTTTTGTCTACCGGCCTAAATATTCGAGAAATATACAACTTTCCTCTGCCCAGAGGTCCTGCCCGCGAACGCCTATTTTTTTTTTAACCACATTTCTCGAATATTCAGGGCAGTAGACGAAAATAAATATACTGTTTGATACACAAACGAACACACACAGAGACACACACGCACACATATATATATATATATATATATATATATATATATATGCTATTATATATTATTTTATATATATTATTTTATTTATTTATTCACGAATAAAATCTCGAGTTGCCTAGAAAAATATCTAACATAAATATGCGTTCATACAGCGAAGCAGCGTGTATTTGAGAAAAACAATTTACGATATTGTAAACAAATAATTTTTTTTTCACTTGTTATATAACATTTCTAAATATTGTTTGCTTTTATTTATGACGTCAGTTACTAAACAGGTACTTCCAGTTTCTTTCTTATCATTTATTTTTTTTGATTCACACCCTATTTTTTTTTTTTTTTTTACTACCCACCTACTACATTGAAGAACATGACAACATTAAACACACAAATACAGTCACACACACACATATATATATATATATATATATATATATATATATATATATATATATATATATATATATATATATATATATATATATATATATATGTGGGGGGATGACAGTTGGTTTTTACATTTTTTTATTCCTCGTGTGTTTAATACCACTTCTTATTGTCAAAAATTGCTACATTAAAGAACATGACAACCTTACACACACACCTATATATATATATATATATATATATATATATATATATATATATATATATATATATATATATATACCCAAGTATATGATTGGTGTATACGGAATAAATTTCAATAACCAACAATTACTATTCTTAAAAGAGTGCTCAATACAGGGTAGAGCGAATATAATTATTTATTAAAACATTATGACATAAATATGTTATAAAATCACTACAAAAAGAGCCATTTTGTTTCACCACCTCTGGTCTCTTATCAAGTGATGGTGTTGAATGCAGATTGTAGATTCTACAATCTACATTCAACATCATTTTATAACATATTTATGTTATAATTTTTAAATATATATATATATATAATATCTATCTATCTATCTATCTATCTATCTATCTATCTATCTATATATATATATATATATATATATATATATATATATATATATATATAGAGAGAGAGAGAGAGAGAGAGATTGATAAGTAAATCCCTATTTAATGTATAAGCGGCCAGGAATCCTGACGTAATACACTATGAATTTTTTGTTCGGGGTTGGTTAAAGGAGAAAGTCTACTACACAAAACCAAGACTTCGAAAGAACTTGAATGGCGAATACAAGAAGTTATGCCTTCCATGCTACAAGAATTCGTGCTGAAATTAGTTGATGCAGTTTCTGGGCTGCTTGAGAAATCTGCAGCCCACATCGAATTTTAAATAAAACCTCATGCTAAACGTTTTCTTCTCATATCAATTTCTTGTAAAAATTATAGTTAATAAATAAATTATAAGTATTTTAAAATGGGGTGTTGCTTTTCAATATCCATATATATATATATATATATATATATATATATATATATATATATGACTCGGTCTTTATATATATAGGAAAGAAATGCAACAAACCTCTTTTGCATTTTTTTCTTGATTCACACCCGTGTTTTTCTTTCGACCCACCATTTTATGGTCTTAAATACTACATTGAAGAACATGACAAATTTACACACACATTACATGTACGTACATACACACACACGAGCGAGTGAGCGCACACACACACACACACATATACACACAAATATATATATATATATATATATATATATATATATATATATATATATATATATATCAGAGAGAGTCGGCTTTGTAGATATAGGGTGAGAGGTGAGAAAATCGAATAGACCATGTTTGCAATTTTCTTTTTATTCATACCAGAATTTTACTACGCACATTCTTATGGTCTAAAATGCTATATTGAAGAACGTGCCCTCCACACACAAACACACACATGTATGTATGTATATATATATATATATATATATATATATATATATATATATATATATAGAGAGAGAGAGAGAGAGAGAGAGAGAGATGCTGAACTGAGACCCTTATTATTTTATTTACTTAGTCACGAATAAGTACATTTATTTATGCACATATATTCTTTCTGATTAAATTTAGATATTTCGCCGTATGTATTTTGTTGGAGTTTCGGTGGCTTATTGTTTAAATTCCACTCACCAGTCTTCGGCTCTTGATTTGATGTCAGCTCCATTTTTGCATTGATTAATTTTGTTAAGTCTGTGCGTTAATTGCTATATAGCGATTAGCGCAATCTTTTCCAAGTATCTATCTATCTATCTATCTATCTATCTATCTAATTACCTAAATGCCTACCTATATAAAGTATAGCACATTGAGTGTTGCTGTGAATAAAACAGTGCTTGAGGAATCTGAATTATATTTCTGAACATGTGTATTATTTTTGATGTGTATTTAGCGGGTGTAACAGCAAAATTGTCTTTTTGTTAGATTAAGATTTGAACCGTTGTATCTTAGAAATGATTAAAGATATCTTACTGGAATTCTCTATTCGACTCTACTTTGAACAATAAGAATGCATAATGACTCTACAACAGAAGAATCGTAATGAAATCGATCATAAACGAATATGACATGTTCATCATTAATTAATCATAGCTATGGATCGGAAGCTCATGAAGTAGTGAAATAAAGTTAATCTATATTATACAGTATGAATTTTTTGATTTTACGTAAGCTGCCTAAAACAGTTGAAATCAGTGGTTTTCGAGCGAAAACCACTCGATTTTGACGACTTTTTAGACGTTTTCGTAACTTTGCAAACACGATGTTTTTTTTTAAAAAAAGGATCCAGTTTCCAGTTCACCCTGCGTTTACGAAAACAGTAAACAAATCACAAAGTCAAACGCTTCAAAATTTTGGAATTTGACGCCAGAAAGAAATATTTACGCTTGGCCAGTTCTATGCTACATGCTCAAGAGTAAGAAATCCCAAGAAAAAAAAAAAGAAATTTTATTAAAAAAATATTGTTTACTTTGAAGTTTTAAATAATTTTCTTAAAAAATATTGTTTACCATGAAGTCCTATAAAATTAAAAATACAAAGGGAAGACTCACGAGATCTGATATACAAGGACTCCAGGACCTTGAGGTGAAATGTGGAGTAAACACAGAGGGAATGCTTGCTGGGTCTGAATATTATTGGACTCTAGTCCCTTGAAATTCATAATTTTTTTTTATCTCTCTCCATTTAATTACATTCGTTAATTAAAATTAATTTACACGCTTTTAAATTCCCAGAATAAATAACTTGATAAGTCCTGGGACGAAACCGATAGTTTTATTTTGGCTTTTGCTTTTAAAAATGCCTCCTTATTATCTTTTCCTATCTATTATTAAATTCTGTACCACGAAAAACTTATTTAAAAATTAAAAATAAATTAAGGAAATTACTAAACCGTGAAGTGGAGTTTTTGTGAAAGTATTTTTACAAACAAATCAGCTTATTCAAATTTCACCGACTGGTTTTCAAAATTGAACGAAACTTAGAGTTTGAAATCTCGACAAAAAATGTTACCGATAACTTTAACAATACTGTAAGGCTTTCAACATGCTGACGCGTGTTACAAAATATATATATATCTAGTAAGTTAAAATTTGTAATAATTAGAGTTTTTTTTATTTTTTATTGAAGAGTCATCAGAATTTGTAGCCCAGATATGTACTAGTCAACAGAATGGAAATATTTGTAAAATCCTCTACAATTCTAGTTATTATATTTATAATACCAGACAGAGCTGGCGCACAGGTCTCATATTCTCCTCAAATTTATCCTATGATTTATCCTATGACATCCCTGAAACTATGATATGACCCCCCAACTCTATGATACTGCCAGTGTACTACAACTTAGTTTCCATAAGATAATATTCATAAATATTAGTATTAATATAAATATTAAATATTATAAATATTATATATATATATTAATTATTAACCACAAGAGAGAAATGAAGTACAGAGATTAAGATTATTATTAAAATTGCTTTGTTTACGTCCAGATAAGAAACTGAGCAAATATGAAAAATTTCGAGAGTCTATGTTCTTCGTAGGTCAGTCAGTCTAGAGCACGTCTACTCTAACGACGGATCCCGTTGCCCATATGGACGCGGATTCGAATCCTGGCGAAAATCGCATATTTTTCTATAATAAGATCTCTCGAATATTCAAGCCGGTAGAAGAAAATATACTGTTTGATAAATAAATGAAACGTCCACTCAGATACGAGTATCCATATATATATTGTCATCTTTAGGACTCATTTTTTTCGCATATATAGGCAAACATTAAGACGAAATATGTGTAGACCGAAGGATGTTTTTTTTTTTTTTAAATTATTCTAGTTATTGACAGTAGAATGTATACTTTGGAATTTTCGGCCACGCCTGTGTTCTTCATCAAGGTGTGAAAAATAAACAGAGAAATGGGGAAGACTCACCAACGGTGTTTCTTCTTTGTTTTTTGGCTGGTGTGAACTTGTTGTAGTTCTCTGTTTATTTCTCGCACCGCTGATGAAGGACAGAGGGATGCCCGAAAATTCCGGACTTAGAACATTAATCTCCGTGCTTCATTTCTGTCTTGTGGTCAATAATTAATTTTTCGTACTGACCACATTGGTACCGTTTCGTTTGACCTTTTTTTTTATTAACCAACCTATCTATTTTACATAGTATAAGAAGCATAAGTGAAATCTTTCTTCTGATATATATATATATATATATATATATATATATATATATATATATATATATAGCTAATATTAGTTGTAAATATACACATATATGCAAAATATATAAAATATATATACATAGGTGCATACACATACATGTATATTTTTTGAATAAAAAATTCCCAGAGGATAGAATCCAGGTAGAACTCAATGTCCAGGACAGAGTAAGGATATAATAAAAAGGCTTAAACACTAATATTCCATGGCCATAATTTATTCTATTGGAATCGTAAATACGATCCAATTCATCAGACTTACAAATTCAAAAAGAAAACAGAAAAAAAACACTCCGGAAATAAAAATAGAATTTAGAGAGAGTGTAAGTATGAGAGTGTGGGACGAATGTTAGTGATAAAGAGAGGGGTAACAGACGAGAGAAGGTGGGAGATTAAACCATAACAGAGAGAAGTTTTAGAGAGGTGAGTTGAAGAGGTTTAAGTGAGAGAAATATGAATGTTGCCGGGTGTCTAATACATTAAAGATACATTTCATGGTGACATACGCACACAATCTCTCACCTTCTTGTTTTTTGGGGGGAGGTTACGAATTGGTCAAACCCAAACTCAAACAAAAACATTGTTTTCAATTGTTATGAGGCTATCGATTGAATAGAATTTTATTATAAACAATGGTCTTGTAAATGGAATTTTTAAAGCATTCTGAATGTAAAAATAAAGAAAAAAGTGTTCAAGACAATAAGAAACACTACCTGCCAAAAAAAAGTGAAGTTTTTTGAAATCGGTTGAAAAATGTAGGAAATCCGATCCCATATATAAACGAACACACACACATACAAACAACCTTGGTTTTATAATAAGTATAACTCGATATGAGTTGCCCCCCTTTCATTCTGTCGACAGAATCGTGTTTTATAGTGTTTTCAAATTGATTTCGTAAAAAAACAATTGTGTTTTTACAATTTGTGGCGCTGTCAGAACCACCGCAAGGTAATTTTACGCAGTCCTGTGAAGTTTTGTTGAAATCGGCTGAAAAATGTATGAAATCTGATCCAATATATAAACGTACAGACACACACACAATCTGCGTTTTATAATAAGTAAGATTATAATTATTTTTATATATAAAAATATTGATACGATAGTAAGGATCACAAAGCTCTGCTTGGGGTCTGCAATCAGATCGTGGGGTTCGGTGGTAGTACGCACCGGCCTTGTTGCCAAAAGTAAACCAAACGAAATTCACAAACTAAAAAAAAAGGAAAAGAAAAAAAAGAAAAGCATGTATAAATGGTGACATAAAACCTAATGACATTATATAATTAACAAACTCCATAACTAATGAATTAAGATAGAAATTTAGCATATCGCAATATATAAATGTGATCAAAGGCACCTAAAGAAGCGCTTAACAATTGAATCGACGTAAATCAAAAAGTGTAGATAGCGCAGGGATCGGCACGGTGACAGGAACAGACGAACCGACCTCAAGTCCTGACTCGTCGGTTGCGTTCACAGTCTCATAACTCCGTTGAAAAAAGAGATTAAATCCATCGCTTCCCTCTTTGATTTTCGCATAAATTGTACATCAAACAGGGCCCTTGAGGCTTGGGAAGAAGTGCAGTCTATAGGAAAGAAAATTATGCATATAAGACCGTGGAGCATTCAATGGAAAAAAAAACACCATCCATACCACTATTTTCACCCCGGTGTCATGGCAATTTACTCATAATAAAGAAAAAAAATCAGAGGCGAAGCCAAGATCGCTTTTACGTCCTACAGGGATATATATATATATATATATATATATATATATATATATATATATATATATATATCTGTGTGTGGGGGGAGTGTGTGTGAAAATATATAGAAAATAGAAAGAACTCTTTGGGTAAATAATCCAAAGTTCTTTAGTATTTTTGTTATTATTTAAAAAACAGTGCTCGATACAAAAGTAGAGCCTAAATATAATTATTTATTTAAAATATGATTCCATCGCTACATAAGAGTTCTCATGTTTCAAAACAAGAACCGAAAACTTCAATATAATTATTTGAATTAAATTGAAACAAATTATTAAGCCTTACGCCCCCATTTTTTTAAATAATTGCTCTAGCCGTTACCATAGTAATTTTAAATTTAATAAAATTATAGAAACGGCTCTTGTTTTGAAGCATGAGAACTCTTATGTAGCGATGGAATCATATTTTTAAATAAATAATTATATATATATATGTATGTATGTATAGAAATAATTATTTATTTAAAAATTATAACATAAATATGTTATAAAACCACTACAAAAATAACTATTTTGTGTTCAACACCTCCGGTGTCTTATCAATGATCATGTTGAATATAGAATAAATAACTATGTATTGAGCACTCTTTTAAGAATAGTAATTGTTGGTTATTGGAATTTATTCTGTATACACAATCCTATACTTATATATATATATATATATATATATATATATATATATATATATATATATATATAGAGAGAGAGAGAGAGAGAGAGAGAAAGTGAAACAAACAACAGATTAAATAGGATAAAAATAATACATCACTAGATTTAAAGAAAAGAATATATAGATAA